TGTCAGTTCTGTCTCTCTGGAGAACCCTGACTAGTATAAGGGAATATCTTCTTTACCATAAAAGGTATATACTGACCCAAAAGTCACAAGCCGTTATTTAATTAATATTCCCCATGTGTATTTGCTTTAAAAGTTTTAAAACAAACATGTTCTTTTTAGGTAGAGAAGTTATTTTTATATAGTAGTTTATCTGATAGGTCCAGGTTTAAAACTACAAAAAAGGGAAGAACAAAAAGCAAACTAAACAAAAACAGGATGCTTCTTCCTAAGCAAGATAACTGCTTGACAAATACTTTTCCCCTATGTAAAAAAATCAACTCAAATGAGAACCATACTAGAGTTGCCACTTCATTAAAATTATCATCTAAGTATGAAGGAATGCATTTAAAGCAGACACCTACAGTACATAAGATACACACAGTTTCACCAGAAATAACTGGGAGTTAATTACTCACCAAAAACTAATGAAAATCATTTAAAAGTACACAGATAAAAATAAATCTTTTACCTCTTAATTGAAAGATTCTTGGAAACTTTGTTGAAAAACTCTGCTTCTGCATTTTGGCTTTCAGCACTCAGTTCAAAATGGATTGGATTCTTGTCAGAAGGTTCAACATTCTGAAATGAAGTAGGTCATACTTTGAGATGTGACTTAAAACATCAGAGAATTCTAGTTAGGTAAAAAGTAGCTCAGAGACACTGGCGGGAGGGGGATTTCTGATTTCTGTAACTGTACCCTGAAAAAAAATTTTTTATTGAAGTATAATTGATATAACATTAATTTCAGGTGTACAACATAATTATTCCATATTTGTATATATTGTGAAATAATCACCACAGTTAAATCCATCACCATACAGCGTTATAATTTTTTTTCTTATGATGAGAACTTTTTTAAGATCGACTCTCTCAGCAATTTTCAAATACAATCGAACCTTAAACATGAGGCTTAGGGGCACTGCCCTCCACCCCACCCTGAGCAGTTGAAAATCCATGTGTAACACACAGATTCCCAACCTTAAGAGTTGACCCTTGAACAATGCAGGTTTGAATTGTGCAGGTCAAATGAAAAAAATTTGCGTATAAATGGACCCATGCAGTTCAAACCAGTGTTGTTTAGGGGTCAACTGTACATAATACAGTATTATTAACTATAGTCACCATACTGTACATTACATCGCAAGGACTTATTTATAACTGGAAGTTTGTACCTTTTGACTACCATCACCAATCCCCACCTCTGTATTTATGAGTTACCTTTTTTTTTTAGATTCCATATATAAGTGAGAACATATGCTATTTGTCTTTTTCTGTCTGGTTTATTTCACTTAGCATAATGCCTTCAAGGTCCATCTATGTTGTGGCAAATGGCAAGATTTCCTTACTTTTTATGGTTGAATATTACATTGTATATATGAACCAGATTTTCTTTATTCATTCATCTATCGATGGATACTTAGGTTGCTTTTATGTGTTGGCTATTATAAATAATGCTGCAATGAACAAGGGGGTACAGTTATCTTTTTGAATTAGTGTTTTCATTTCCTTCAGATAAAAACCCAGAAATGGAACTGCTGGATCACATGGTAGTTCTATTTTTATGTAACCACCTCTTTTATAGTGTCCATGTCCCTGATCCAAAATTGAAAGTAAAAAAGTCAATCACCTGTATTATGTAAACCACTCAATAACCATGGATTCAGTTAAACTAATAACTTTGAACCGAGGATACCACCTAGAGAATAAAATGAGTAAATGATATATGTCTCTAAAATAGAAATTATTAGACTTCATTTACAATGATTATAATTAAAATGCAAAAGCTTTATTCATGAAATGATACAACCTATAAGTGAAATGAAAAAAGGAACAAAATAAGATCTGAGTGGAAACACATGGTTATTCAGTTATTCAATATTTTTGTAATAAAACACAGAATTTTTTTATTATTAGTCTGAGACATAGGACAGCTAACCATTTTATTGAAAGGTAGTCTTTGAATGTTTTTACACAATGACATGTGTATTTTTATGTATTTTATTAGATAGAGCAACAATCTGTTCTGATACCTAGGATTATATATTAACACTGACTTTTTTTATTTTTTTAAGATTTTATTGGGGAATTGGGGAAGGGAACAGTGTTGGGGATTGGGGAAGGGGAACAGACAAGTTGCTGTTCTTTGGTTCTTCAGTCTAGTTGTGGAGGACGTCACTTCACTGGCCCATGATGTTGGTACCATCATTGTGCTCTTCCTGGCTGAGGCAGATCGGTCACCGGCCATTGGATGACCACTCACAGCAGCTCACGGCAGCTCACGCTGGATGCCGGCCACTCACGGTCGCTTAGGGCAGCCCACTGCAGCCCCATTGCAGCCTGCGCTGCCGCTGGCAACTCATGGCAGCCCAGCTCCAGGTCGAGCTGTTGTTCACCATCTTAGCTATAGAGGGCGCAGCATCACTGGACCATGTGGGATCCGAACCAGTGGGCCTGTTGCTCAGAGCTCGCACTCCCAAGCCAACTCTTAACCAACGAGCCACTCGGCTGGCCCAATTAACACTGACTTTTAAGTGTAAGAAACCATTTGTAAAACCATAATAGTTGAAAGCAAAGAAAACACTACAATCACAAATTAATTCTCAATATCATAAAATGATTTAACATATAAATTCTTGATATATTCTTCAAAGGTTTTACAAAGACACTGGATAACTTCTGATCCTGTATTATAATTTGGTTCTGGAGATGACATAAAATTTATGAAACAAAATTAACCATGAACAGGGCCAGCCTAGTGGCTCAGTTGGTTGAATGGGAACTCTGAGCCAGTTCGATTCCCACATGGGCCAGTGAACTATGACCCAGCTGAGCTGCCGCTGAGCTGCCAACAGGTGGCTGAATGGCTCAGATGGTGAGAGTACATGCTCCTAACAACATAGTTTCTGATTCGACTCCCGCATGGGATGGTGGGCTACGCCCTCTCACAACTAAGATTGAACACAGAACCTTGAGCTGAGCAGCCAGGAGCTGCCAATGGGCAACTGGATGGCGACTGGACTTGGAGCTGAGCTAGCTGCACCCTCCACAACTAAGACTGAAGGACAACAACTTGGCTATTCCCATTCCCCAACACTGTTCACCTTCCCCAATTCCCCAATAAAAATCTTTAAAGAAAAAAATAAAGAGCCCTTAAAAAAAAAAAAATTAACCATGAATGAAGTTAATAATCAGTACTGATTATGAATACACAAAGCCTAATAGTTTCAGTTACTATTTTAAAGGGTAAAGATCATTGGGCTTATACAGCCAACATGCAACCCTAAACAGTCATCAATGTACTAGGTAATCAAATCACTTACTTTGAAAAGATGTAATGTTTCCTTGCTGGTTAGTAGCTGGAACTGAAGGTCAGGTAACCTACCATCACAAGGGAGGCACTGATAAAACTCAGGATCCTTATGTGTCACAGAATAGAGAACTATAATGAAATTTCCAGATTCTGAAAAAACCCTGGACAAAAAAAAAAAAAAAATTCATGTAATTAAAATTTACTGAGGATAACATATTTTTAACAAAAATGAGACCATACTATCACACTATTTGCAATTGCTATTTCTTATTTGACTATCCTGGATTTCTTTCCATGTCACTATTCTATATTATACCTCAGACCTCATTCCTTTTTAGTGACACCAGTATCACAATTTATAATTATTGATCCTCCTAGACTTCAAAAATGGATATTCAAATTACAGTATTTACAATATTTCACTATTACAAACTGATAAAATGAACATTCATTTTATTATTCACTACATAACTCAACAAATATTTGTAAAGTCATCAAGAAGTTTTAAAAATTATATACTATTTAAAACCAACTATTTAAAACTACTTTCCGTACTTGTTTCTACTTTGTAAAACACTGAATGAAAAATAATCTTGGACACATTACACTACTAATAAAACAAAGCAGTGGAGTTTGGAGAAGCATTAATATCTATTCTGCTCAATTCCTCTTTCTGGAGTCAGACAAGACCACTGTTCAGAATGTTATAAAGTACCAACCTAAGTTTTGCTAAGCAGTGTTGACTCCTTTCTGGTTCAAACCACCCTTGAAAGGGTTGGCAGTAATTAAGAGTTCAGGTAAAGAAATTGCCTAATGCTTCAGACTGGGCACAAACTGACAGAGCTTCAAAATTAATTTTATTGAGCATTTCCTGTCAACAAGAACTTAAGGCAAGACCAGTCACTGATAATAAAACTGTATTAATACACTAAAATGAACATTTAATTTGTTTTATTGCAAATAAAACTAATTGTCTTGAAAAGGTGAAATAAAACGTAAAAGGTAGAACTTTAAGCTGTGCCCTCAGCAACTAGATTGAAGACAACGACTTGAGCTGAACTGCAGCTGAGCTGCCGATGGGTGGCCAGATTGCTCAGTTGGTTAACGTGCGTGCTCTTAACAAGGTTGTCGATTCGACTCCTGCATGGAATGGTGGGCTGCACCCCCCACAGCTAGATTGAAAATGGCAACTGGACTTGGAGCTGAGCTGTGCCCTCCACAACTAAGATTGAAGGACAACAACTTGACTTGGAGCTGATGGGTTACTGGGAAAAACACTGTTCCCCAATAAAAGTTTAAAAAAAAAATCTGAAGAAAACACAAGTTTTTTTTATTGCAATAAATACTCCTGGAATGGGCAAATCTTTTCTAAGCAAGATTAAAAAAAAAGAATGATAAATATGACTTTTTTAAAAGTCTATTTGAGAAAATTATCATTAACCAAAGTTAAGTGAAATGACAATCTGGGGGAACAAAGCTTTGTACATATATTTTTATAAATATTACTTCTCCATATATTTTACATATGACATATCTATATCTATACAGTCATGTGCCACTTAATGACGGATACATTCTGAGAAATGCATTGTTAGATGATTTCGTCGTGTGAACTTCACTGAGTGCACTTTCACAAACCTAGATGGTGTATCCCACTACACACCTATGCTGTATGGCACCCTTGTCTATATGAGGTCTGTCATTGACCAAAACATTTGTTATGTGGTGCGTACCTGTATATTGAGAAAAAGAACTCTTTCAAAGCAATGTGCAAAAGATGCACAATCATAGAGAATGGCAAGAAACATGAATAGGAAGTTCCCAGAATATGGTTCCTAGAATAAGGTTACAATACATCACAAAAGACCATTACCATTACCTCTCTGAGGCCTGGCTACTACTCTCACCTTTCTTCATTCCTCTTCAGCCACACTGGTCTCCTTGCTGTTCCCTGAAGATGCAAGGTGATGTTTCACCTACAGCCTCTGCCTTAATGTATTTTCTGCCTGGGAATGTCCCAGCCAGCCAGTCACATAGCTTACTCCCTCACCTCAAGTCTTTGCCTCCCTGATCTCCTAAAATTATAACTTTACCTGCCATACCATCCAGACACACAACATCCTCCTCCCCTGCTTATTTTTCTTCATAGTATTCAATACCTTGTAAAATATTACTTATTTACTGCCTATTTCTGTAGGATCTTTATTTTGTTTACTGCTTCTCCCCAATATCACGAACACTGCTTGATACATAGTAGGTGCTGAAAGATATTTGCTCCACAGTGTGAGGATGGGGAAAACGGGCACTCTCAAACACTGATGGAAGGATTATAAAATGAGCAGTCTTTTTGGAGGGCAATTTAGCAATGTCCACCAAAATTTAAAATTACACTTTGACCAGATAAAACATATTTAGGAATTTATTCTATAAATATACTAGGATACACACACAAAGATATATATAAAAAAAGGACTGGTTTTTAAAATTAGTTTATATTATTTACTATTCCACTGTAAAATATGAAGTCTGTACATTCCAAGATGTAATGATCCACAAAGAATAATGATATAGAGAAAAGAGCAACATACAGAAAAGGAAGAACAGTATGCTCCCATTTCTGATTTAATTTTTACAGGCTGGGGAGGGCGACATTTGTTTGTGCATTGAATACTGCAGAAAGGAAGCTCAAGATGCTGTTTAACAGTGTTTGTCTCTGGGGATAGGGTTTAGGGAAATGGGATGGAAAAGTGACTTATTTTTATTGTGTATCTTTATTTATGCTTGATTTATTACCAAGTATTTGCACTGTCTGTTCAATCAAGTTTTTTCTGAAGTGTATTACAGCCACTCAAGGCAGACAGAAACAGACCTTGGAATTTTCATTTAATAAATGAAGAGGCAAATAGTGGTATCATGTACAAAATAATAAAATTAAACGAGGAGTTGAGGTTAGAAATAAAGTTTCCCTATTATTTCCAATGCTTGTGCTTTAGTTCCAGGATGACAATTAAACATCTTGTCTCAAATATTTCTCAGAGTGCTAGTGTAGTACTGTGTAACTTAATAAAGTATTTGTAAGGTAACAAATTCAAACTCATTTAAGTCATTTCACTGAACATGAAATCTATTTATAATATCGAATCCCAGTCATAAAAAGTGTATCTTCTGTGTTATACAGTTCTATGGTTAGGCAAGTAAATTCTTTCATATTTCCAAATATAGTGCAACTTCACCTTTCTTTTGTCTGGTGTTATTTTAAGGTTTTTTTCTTAACGTACTTGTTCTTCTGCTTTATAAGTATTATAAAAGGTTAAAGCATCACATGGATTTTAAATGACACCAGTAAAATATGAATGGGTGAAAAGATCAAAATAAAATACTATGGAAGAAAATATCACTTGCCTTTCTTGAATAGAAGAACTGAACATGTATCGCAAACAGCAAGCCCATACCTGAGGACTATAGATATGTATAATGCCAGATAGCCAACTAAAAGAAAAAACAGAAATTAAAAACTATGGTCATTTACAAATTAATACTTAATATACTTTAGATTACATTTTTCTCAGGGTAATATGTCAGAGGTTCTTGGCCATTCACCAGCAATATATTAAGTGTCATAAATTAGAAATCTAAACACTAGACCATGCTGATAATTAAGAGGGAGAATAGATATAGATATGTAGATAGAGAGATCTTTATCTTTGTCCTCTTCCACCTGAGAGGAAGGAAAAATGGAAAATGGTGGGAGATAAAATGGTTAACAATAGAGGTGAAAGCAGGAATCAATTAAAATCAATTAGCCTGGACTGAAAAGAATAGGCTGAATTAGGGGAGAATGAAGTCAGCAGCCTAAAACTATAGAGTTATTGAGAGGATTAAATGCTGTAACATATACAAGTAGCCTGAAACACAGGGGGCTCTTAATAGATACTCACTTAGCATCAAAAGCCCATAGCCAAAGTAGGAGCCTAGCAAACGGACTGTAAGTAGATTTCACGATGCACAGAACATTTGCACATTCTCATTTTTAAATTTTGCACATACCATTCCCTCACATGGGTTCCCCCTCTCCCACCAATCCTCCCTGCTATTATCCAAACACATAAAGGTTCAGCTTAAGTTTGCCTTCTCTAAGAAAATGTCCCCATCATCTCTCTTACAAGTACTGATAGTGTTCACTATCGATATTGCTCATTTCATAGCAAATCATATACTTCTGTATTATTTATCTTTTTACATGTGAATATTTGAATATTTTATCACCTCACCTTGATTATAAATTGGGAGCTTTAAATCCCAACACAGTACCAAACATAATACTAGAGCATATGGTAAGCACTCAATAAATACGGAATATAAATTTCTGACTGGAATAATCTGTCTAAATGTCATTAACCACTAACTCTAAAGAGAAACCCATTAACTCTTAGGGGAATTTCTGCAAAATTGCCTGACAGTGAATTTTAAACAGTGTTATCCTAGCCCTGTGTTCTCCAAGGTGCCTTAAGGACAGTGGCTAGTGAAGAAGGTTAAAAAAACAGGGCTCTAATGCTTCAACTTCTACCAGAAGAATTCAAGTGGATCTGTTTCATATATTGACATTCTTCCTAAGACTGGACAAAATTTTGTTTAACAGATTCTGCTGTTAAAATAAGAAAGCTTAATCATTGGACTTTGTGGCTTTATAAGGTGATCTAAATATTAAATATATATTCACAGAACAACTAATTCACATGCTTATTACATACATTTGAATACATGTGACTGAAAAGGTTTTAATAAATGATGCGACACTTACATTCCCACTAATGGTAGAGAATAAACCTTGGGATCAGATTCCAGCAAAAGTAACAATTTGCGTGTTTCATCCATGGTAAGATATCTAAACAGAGGACATTCATGTAAAAACAATTGAAAATGTGTACTTTTTACCTTTAAAAGAGATCATATGAGTACTAAGAAGCACATTTTAGACAGGGAAGATAATTCAAATGAATATTTTCTCTCACACACACATGCACACAAAGAAAATATTTCAAAGTAAAAAAAAAAGATTCCAGTAAGAGGAAGAGATTAAAGAGATTCAATATCTTAAAATTTCTATTAAAATGGTCATTGAAAATTATACAACCTTTAAGAAAATTTTGTTCTAAAAGTGTCAACAACTTATTTTAATCAAAAGTACTAAAATCAAGGCTAACAATTTCAGAACCAAATAGGTTTCCCTGGGAGAAGTGAATTTCCTGTTACTGTAAGTGTTCAAGTACCCAGGTGACTTGACAAAAATGCAACAGATTTGACTTCTCACGGATGGGAGTCCGAATTAGGTAAGGATTATTCAACCTTCCATGTACCGTATTCCTCCAACCACTATCAAAGAACTTTGGAACTCAAACGTTCACTATTCCCTAAAAGGACATTATACTATGTTTATACTTTGTTATGATGTTTATTATTGACAGTAAGTTTTAAGAATATGAATAACTGCAGAATAATTGTGCAGAGTTAACTTCATTGTTATGGCTTTAAAACACAAAAATAAAAACAATGCCATTCGTGATATAATCTTGATAGTCCCATTGAGGATGTATTTTATTACTATAACCCAAAAATACAAAGATAATGAACTTAATCAGGCCATGTGACAAGATAATTAAGCCTGAGTTGGCAGGAGATTTGTATAAACAATGACACATAACCGTTTTAAAAGCTCTTCTGCCTTGCCTACCTGATAAATTCCTGTTCTTTAAAAGAACCAGCTCTGGCTTTCCATGATTTTCTCAGGCAATTTGGACACTCCTTCCTGCTTTCCCTGCACTGTATATAAACTCCCATTATCTTTATCCATATCATATTTATATATTAATATACTTAATGGACAGTTAAGTATGCTTTTAAAAAATATATTTAATTCTAGTGTCTAACACAGTATCTATTCCATAATGGATCCTAATAAATATTAGAGTAAACAAATGAATGTGGTCAAGGAAAAGAGTCAATGTCAGAAATGTAATACATAATTATAGGTAAGAAGGGGCAAGGGGAACAGGCAATTAGATAAGACTACTGATCATCCTGGGTTACTACTATTAGCATGCCAAGGGATCAGAGGATAACGTAGAGAAAAATAAAATTATGCTTCACTAGTAGATGGGCATGGTACTAAGGAAAACAAATTAACATTTTGGTTAATTTTACCACAAAATTCCCATGTCCCAATTGAGAAGCATTTCATTACTCCAAGAGAATTAAATATTCCACGTAATTCAAACATTTTTTTGATCACCACCATGTTTACCCGTTCCATGATTTGGGAATATACTAACACTTTGGTTTTCTGCTACTCCAACCACAAAGGACGGCATGTGGGAATCAAAATGAGATATTTCTTGTTATTCCACGGATCCTCTGAAAAGAAAATCCTCCCTTTTCCTTATCCACTTTTGAACAGGCATTTTTTTTTTAGAGGATAAGACTTGGAGTTGAGTGTACCTTGGCAAACATTTTTGGCTCTAGAGACCTAACAGGAACTAGGGTGGAGTCTAGTGGGAAAGGTGGCCAAAAGTGAATTGCTTAGACTTTAAAGCAGAGGGTGCTGACATTGTCTAACCTAGCTCAGTAGACAATGGATAAAGAAAGTGGATGAGGATTCAGGGAAGCGGCCCTGCTGAGGAACAGAAAGCATGCAATTTGGCTTACATTGCCTAAGAAACTAAGAGTGGCGATAGGAAGTTGGAAAGGATGCTGCTTCAGCTATGTGAGGAAACTCCACCCTCAAGTGGTTGCCAGTCTGGTAAGCAGGAGTACTATAAATTTTTATTTATCTCCTTTCTCTATCTGCAATGCTCATTATTCATCATTAAAATCTACATATAATAAAAAAATTCTCCAGCCTCTTTAAGGCTCATAATCAGTCAGATTACAGTTGAAAAAAAAAACCAAAGACAAAAAGATGATAATCTAAAACCTAGGCAGAATACAAAGAGCAAAATGATACACAGGATAATTTCTCCTGATATTTTCAAATCACAAAATACAACCAATCTTAATATAATTTACCACTGGTTTTTCTTGGCATGGTGGGAACAACTCTTTGTAAGAAAACTATATTCAGCAAAAATTAACAACTTTGTTTTTCACCTTCCTTGCTTATTTATCTAGCCACTGCAGATCTCTGGCATGTAAACTGACTGCACAATTACTATTTGGTATTACATAGATACTATGAAAATATACTAATGGGACCAATATTTAACTATTTGGATGAACAGATCTTTTTACTTACCCATATTTATAGGTACCCTGAACTTGAGAAATATTCAGATTGCTGCTCAAGTTTCTTGCCAGAGCTGTTGGAATAATGGGGATGGGCTTCACAGGTGTACATTTAAAGGTATTTGCTAAAGTTACTGCTGTCCAATGCAAGTCAAAATCCACCTTGTCCAAACTTTCCCTGGAAGTGAGGTGAACTCTTAGGGAAAGAAGTTTCCCACAATCCAAGGAATCTTTGCTACATACATGGTGCTGCAGAGCCTGAGGAATCAATATTATACAATTATTTTAAAACTTTGAAACTTGTCCACATCTCTAAAGGCTTTATTTCATACCGGTGCATATATACATACATATCTTGTACTAAGAAAATTAAACAATTTTTGACTAGCAACATTTCAATTATCTCATTTCTTCCATGTGACCAAAAGGTTACATGAATTTTTGTCAAAGCAAGTAAGATTTACCGTACCAAGTCCATCACATATTTCCACCTTAGATGTCTCAGCAGTATTTCAAATTCTTATTGGAGAATGTCGTTTCCAAAAAATATTTATTACATGGGGAAAAATGGATTAACTCTGTAAATTAACTAAGTAAATTAACTCTGACTCAAGTCTCAGAAAATCTAAATCCATCCTCTTTGATTCTTTTCTTATTAATCCAAATTGTCAAGTGAGTTCTTTCTCTGTAGTTGCTCATGCCCATTGAGTCCTTTCTAGTCTCACTGCCACCACTCTATTACAGGTTACGACACCCTCTCTAATACACACCTAAATATTGCAATGGCCTAACTACTCTCTCTGGCTTCAGTCAGCCTGCCCTATCAGATTAACTACTCCAGATTTAATAGTATTTCCTCTTATCAAAAACTTTCAGTGACTGTACATGGCCCATATGACAAAGTTCAAATTCCTTAGCTTGACAGACAAGACTCTCCATAACACGGCCAAACTAATACTTCAGTCCAACTGCCCACAAATACAGCAAAATCTATACCCTTAGTATCACCCCGAGTATATCTCACACTTTGCTATTCTGGTCACACTGCTTCCTATTCGGAAATGCTACCCATATTACCTTCCTAGGATTTCTGCCCTCAGAAACCACGTTTAATTACATTTTAGGTCAACAATCATTCAATCAGAAATAAATTATTATGAATACTTATTAAATATGGGTTTATTAAAATACTACATAGTACACAGTTTGATTCTTGTATTTAATTAAAAATAATCAAGTTATCAACAAATCTCACCTTAAAAGCTGAACTGAAGTCATCTGCATTATGAACTATTACTTCTCTTGAACAAAGTCCTTGAGTATGAACTTTGCATGGAATCACAAAGTCCCCAGGAAGAGAAGCAGTAGGTGTTCTTTCTAAGCATTCAGGTACTTCTCGACCAGGATCAAAGCGATCTACTGTCAATATCACACTTTCTTCATCTGAAGATCAAATATAGCAGTTATTATATAAGCATGCTAATTAAAAATGTGAAATCAACCAAGCAAGCATACATTATAGCAAAACAGTGTTCTTACTAATAGTATACTAAATGACTTGAATATACTGGGTTGTCAGAAAAGTCATAACGTATTTTTTTCTATGATTTTCGTTGCAAAAATACTTTCATGACTTTTCCAACAACCCAATATATTCTTCCACCTGATCAGACTGTGAAGTCTGAGATGGATAATGTCAAGTTTTACACATCTTCATGACGTTGGTATATAGCAAAGAAAATTAGCACAAAGTATATTACAATAATTGGCTGAATTGGTAAACATAAGTTCTTTATAGTCATAAAAATAATTTTTTAAGTGTATTACCTTCATCTACTGTGAGAGAACCAAGTAAAAAGCATGATATGTTTATTTTATTCTGTTTAGCATGACGACAAGCAAGTCGGATGGTCTTTTCAGTTACCACAACCTTTGGATTTCTGAAAAATAAAAACAGGTTTTATAAATCTAGTGGATCTTTGGAGTTCTGAAAAATAAAAAATCTAGTGGATCAATATCCTAAAACACTTTCCTGCCATGAAATGCTGCCTAAAATATAACGCACATCTTTTAAAATGTACAAAAAGACTACTGTTGGGAAATCCTAAGGTCAAAGGTGGAGTGGGGGACTTGGCAGGAGCAGGGAGGGCTGCTTGGAAACCAGAACTGCAATCGGCAGACACTGAAGTTGTAGTTGTTCTCCAGGCCTTTTGCATCATTTTATGAACCAGAGCAGGAATCGAGAAACTGAGTCCAGCCTACTGTTTTTGTAAATAAAGTTTGATTGAAATAGTCACATCCATTTGTTTATATATTGTCTATAGACTTCAGATGCTAGCATTAATGAATAAAGAATATAAATAAATGATTCAAATGTTTAAAGAAATATAAAAGAGACTCTAAAGTATGAGCAAGGAACAAAATATAATCAAAAAACACTAGGCAGGGCCGGCCGAGTGGCGCGATGGTTAAGAACTGGCTTGGGATGCCAGAGGGCCCCGGTTCAGATCCCACCTATGAGGGCCAGTGACACTGCCCTCTACAGCTAAGATGCTGAACAACAGCTCAACCTGGAGCTGGGTTGCTGTGAGTCCCCGCCTACGGCGTAGGCTGCAGCCCCTGTGGCAGTGGGTTGCCATGGGCTACCGTGTGTAGCCAGCACCCAGCGTGAGCGGCCAGCAGCCACAGTGAGCGGCTGTCCAGAAGCCGGCGACTGATGTACCTCGCCTGGGAAGAGCGCAATGATGGTGCTAACTTGGGCCAGTGAAGCAACGTCCTCTACAACTAGACTGAAGAACAAAAGGACAGCAACTTGTCTGTTCCCCTTCCCCCAATTCCCCAGCACTGTTCCCATCCCCAATTAAAAAAAAAAAACACTAGGCAAATTTGAAAAAGAACCATGAAAAACTTGTATTATAGAATTAAAAATATAATCAATTAAAAACTCAGTGGATTATATAATTGACTAGGAATAGATACACAAATGTTTATTATTATTCTATAAACTATGCATACATGTTATAAACAATCTTTCATATATATAGTATAGTTCCACATTTAAAAAACCTAAATTAACAGATTATATGGCAACTAAGCATAGCTAAAAAGAAACTTAGTAGAATTGAAGCAATTACTCAAAATATAGCACCAAAAAATAATGATAGAAAATATAAATGATAGGTTAAGAGGCATGAGAAAAGAATGAACAAGTATAACAAATATTAGTTGAACTTCTACAAGACTCTCTCTGTTTCTATCAACGATACTACCTTTCTCTGCCAACTGGTTTAAAACTTAAATACTTTTTGACTTGAATCTTTCCTTTAGTCCCTCTATTCTATAGATCATCAAATGCTATCAATTGTTTCTTCAATTTTTCATTCTTTGCTCTTGATTCCAATAATTCTACACTGATCTAAAATCTTATAATAGCTACTGTTAACACTTTGTATGTTCCAGGCACTGTGCCAATTGCTACTTTATAGAGTCTGTCTCATAATCCTTACAAGAATACTATGAAGTAAGTATCATTATCTGTATTTTATATATATAAGGAAATTGATCCTTGGCTCCTTTACTGAAGTCACATAAATAAGTGATAGAATCAGGATTTGACCCTCTAGGAAGTCTGACTCCAGTTATAGCACCTTAAACCACTATGGCATAAATCTGTTTCTTTTTTGTTTCTTCTTCTTTTAATTAGGAAATTGGGGGAGTGAAACAGTGTTGGCAAACTGGGAAGGGGGACCACCCAAGTTGTTGTTCTTCAATCTTAGTTGTGGAGGGTGCCAGTTGCCATCTGACTGCCTATCGGCAGCTTGTGGCCTCTAAGCTCAAGGTGCTGTGTTACAATCTTAGTTGTGGGTGGGCATAGCCACCATCCCATGTGGGAGTCGAACCAGCAGCCTTATTGTTAAAAGCGCACTATCCACGGAGCCATCCGGGCGGCAGCTCAGCTCAAGGTGCCGAGCTCAGTTTTAGCTGCGGGTGAGCGTAGCCCACCATCAAACAGGCAGTCTTGTTAGGAGTATGTGTTCTCACCAGCTGAGCCATCCTGCCACCTGTTGGCAGCTCAGCTGCAGCTCAGCTCGGGCACAGCGTCACTGGCCCATGTGGGAATCGAACCGGTGGCCCTGTTGCTCAGAGCTCGCGCTCTTAAGCTAACTCTTAACCAACTGAGCCACTCGGCCGGCCCAAATCTGTTTCTTAGATTACAAAAAACCAATCTGCAGCTAGGCTGACTCTAGGCTCTCTACACTATGATCCAATTTTAGAATTCTGCTTTTAACAAGTAACTCCCTCATATAGAAAATCTCAATGCATCTCTATTTTCTATTACTTTAAGCATAAATAATAGAAAGCCATCTTTCCTTCAAGACACAGAAATTTCTATGTCTGGCATAAGCATATTTTATATTCCTTCTATGGTTTATTCACTTAAAACCAGTTCAATCTTCTCAATGCTCTACAACAAAGACATCATACTGAAGCATGATGAAAACCCTTTCAGTTTTTCTTATTTTTGCCTCTTTTGAATTCTTATAATACTTAGAACTTTAGGTTTACAGAATATTTTAACTGTGAAATTAAGATTATTTCTTAAAAGCATGAGGAACAGATTTAAGAAGCAGCAGAATAGATTATTTTGTCTGAGAGATTCTGAATAGAAAAGTAAAAAAAAAAATTTAGTCATAGCAATCAATTTTGCACTATGCATTCTTTTGACTACTATTTATACTAGTTTAATTTAAAAAGAGAAACATCTTATACCTGTAGTAATTAAGATGTAAGTAGATGAAATCTCCAGTTGGCATTGGGTTCCAAAGTGCATATTTTGATGGAGGAAAGTAAAAAGGTACCATCCTGCTTGAAGGAAACCTTAAAAAAATAATTCAAATCAAAGCACAATGAAAAGCAAACTTAGTTGAAATTTTATAAGAAACAGTTTAACTTTAAATGATGGAGCTTTTCAGATTACTTTTGTAATTTTAGAAGAGTTGAAAATATTTTTAAAAAGTAAAAGAAAAAAATCACTTGCAAACCTACTGTCAAGAGAATAAGCACTCAAAATTTAGGTATAATTTTTTTCCTGTCCTTTTTTTCTTATGCATACATAAATTTATATACACAAGCTTTTAAAAAAGAACTGGAATATTAATCCTATAAAATCCTCTTTAAGTAACAGAAAAACAAGTATAAACCATGGATTTACATTTAAATGTAAAACTAAAATCTGTCCCTCAGAACTAATTTCTAGATAATTGTTAGATAATACCTAATAAAATGAAAAGCACAAAAACTTTAATAGAGTCTTCATTTTTCAGTGTTTCCAAAATTGGTATCTTGGGACCTACCACATAAGTTTAATCACTGAAGCATAAAAAAGACATCTTATAAATCATTCCTCAACAAAGATCTAGAAGCAGTGTAAAGGTTTCAATATTAAATCATATAGGGTACCATCACAAAGTTTATTTACATAAGTGAGTAACATGAGAAAACCACGATAAGAAAAAAAACAATGAAAAGAAAGGGCTGAGGAGAAAATATGAGCCAGAGTTGCATGTAATTAAAGCAAGAAAGCTCTGACAATGAGCTACCTACAACTGTGTATTTATATTTAGATTGTTAAATAGTTGAACTGAAAGAACATTTATCGTATCATGCACTAAGAATACCTTGTTCTATATCTTATTTTCATGTATCATCTGATTTAGCTTCTCAACTAAAATACTAGCTCCAGGTTACTGATCACCTACCTATGTATGAGGAATCCCACTGAGCACTTTACATATACAGTATTTCTCACTAAAACCGATCCAGAAACACTTTATTGTCTGCTTTATAGATAACAAACTATAACTTTCCTAACTTCATACAGCAATTAAGTAGCAGAGCTGGGACTTGAATCTGAGTGTGGCTAATTTCGAAGCTTATACTTCTAGAAGCTCAATCGTGTGGTGCTTTAGAGCTTGGGTTCAAATTCTAGCTCCACCACACTCCCAGCTGTGTGCTTTCAAATCCTTATCTGAGTTGAGCTCATCATATCTATAGGAAGGAATTTTTAATTGCCCTGTTTTGAAATGAGGACATAGTCTGAGACTAAGAAATTTGATCAAGGTCACAAAGCTAGAGGGTGACAAACTGTCAGTTTATCTATGTCTCTATGTCTAATATATTTGTCATTTACCAATTGGTGAGAGAAGCAGTATGGTGTAGGGGTTAAAAGCAAAGAATCTGGAGATCAACTGCTTAGGTCTGAAACCTGGCTTCAATTTGCTAGTTGTGTGACCTTGATCAAGTTAATGTCTCTGTACCTCAGTTTCTTCATCTGTTAAAAAGAATAATATCAGCATCTCTGGGTAGTTATAATGAATATTAAATGCGTCGATATATGTAAAGTGCTTAGAAAAAGTCCTGGCTTATTGTAAGTGCTCAGTGTTAGCTGTTTCTTTGTGCTCTCAGTAGTCCATAATACCTTTAAAACCTAACCTACACTACCTTCAGGTTTACTTCCTTGTGGTATAGAAGTCATACAGGTTTAAATCCTGGCTATACCACTTACCAACTAAATAACTTTGGGTTGGTTAATTGCTCTATGCTACGGTTTACTCATTTCAAAAAAAGAGAGGGAAGATAACAGTATTTACATGTCATAGGTTTGCTGTGAAGGTTAATTAAGAATAATGCATGCAAAGCGCCTGGCACAGCAAGATTTCAATAAATGTTATTCGTCTTTTTCTTATTCTAAGGTATACAGGTAGACTTTGGAGGCAGGGGAGACATAAACACCCTTAAATTGGATGTAAAATTTTGCATGTATATATATAAGTGCTTTTTCTTAGGAAATGAGAGTCACAGCTATCAGATAATCAAAGCAGTCTGTAACCCCAAAATAATTCAGAATTGCTGCCCTAATGCCCATAGGTTACTGAAAATTCAAGGTTTCAGTTAAAAACAAACAAATAAAACAAATAAACCAGAGTAAAAAATGAGTGAAACAAACAAAAAACTAAAGTTGAATATACCAGGAATAATCAGTTTAAATCACATGGGTGTAATGTATATTATCCCACCTAGAATGTAAGGAGTAAATTTGACCCAATAATACATTTTAAAAAGAGAAGAACAGAAGTTGACAAATTTTCAAAGAGGTGGCAGTACAACAGAAGGACCAAAATTAAGAGAAAGAAATACGGAAATACGATAGCTTCATTGGGTCATGTTTCCCATTGTCTTCATCAAGAACATCTGGCACAAAGAAAACAACACAGAGAATAAAGGTAACTCATGGATGCAATTCTAGTTTAGAAAAAAAAAACATCACATGTCAGCATTAATTGTTCTTCCCTAGGGAGGAAAAAAATAATACACGATCCAAAGAGATAAATAATATACAAGCCAATTTGCCTGGTTCCCACAGTAGTGACAGAAAATTAGGAGACAGGTGGCAAGTTCCTCCTTCCTGCTCCGCATAAAAAAAGGCTTAGGGACATTTAAGGAAATTTGGCATATCCAATGTGAAATTTTTCCCATCAAGGAATTAGCTTAGAAGAAGGAAGGAACCCAACCAACCCAACTACCTTCCCACTTGTCTAGGATGTAAATAAACATGTATATAATTTTTAGCCTTCAGAGTTCAGGTACTATTTTCCATCAATAAAAAGATCCTCTATGAAACTAAAATAAGGGAATGAGGGAATAAGACTAAAATTTACCACCAAGTGTCAACTATGTACCAGACTCTTTAGTTTAGTAATCTTATTTAACTCTTCAAAATAATCTTTTGTTAGATAGAGATTACTATCCCCGATTTAGAGATGAGGAAACTGAGGCTTAGAGAAGTTAGTTAACTTGATCAAGGTCACTCACCAGTAAGTGGGAGAGCTGAGACATGGACCCAGATTTTCCTGATCCTAAAGTTTTTTCTCCTATTCCAATCTACCTTCCCAAGTTATGTGAACAGCTGTAAAAAAAAGTTTTGTAAAAATATTTCTATACCTGGTATTCATCTGGGGCCCTGCAAGAGGATACGGAGTCTCCATGATAGTTGGTGAAGGATTTATTCAATTTCAAATGCTCAGTATCCTCAAGATGAAAATATTACTGAATGATAAAAAACAAGAAATATGATTTAATCACGTATTAACAAATTACAGACAAATTAGGTTAGTTATATAAAGTGTCTTCATCAAGATTAATAAGATTAAATGGTTGTGGGTTCTGGTCATTTTCATACTTCATAGTTTTTCTGCCTATAAATTAACGTTAATATTTATTCTACACAGCAAAACCTACCAATATATCTATTCATTAAGGAAAACACAGATTCAGCCCCCAAGATCACTGTATCAACTAAGCGAGCTGAGTACGGCAGGTAGTATTTAATATATGAGATTTTGACCAAAAGCCCCATAATATTCAAAAAAGCACAAAGCAGCAAATAGGAACAATTTAGGCTAGATATTTATTGGGTCTATAATGAAGTCAACAAATCTTCAAGATTGTGGAGATGGAAGATAAATACTGCATCCCCACAAACTGATTTGTATCAGTGCAAAATCAGTGATCTGTTTTTGGCTCCACATGCCCTCTTCTGGGTATTCTTATCTACTCCCATTGCTTCCACACCCGTCTGTATAAGCAAACTTTCAGCTTCCACCTCTCTTCTGAGTTTAAAACTTATATTTTTAATTGCCTACTGGCTGTTTCCATCTAAATATCATCAAAGCAACATACAGACTTCTACGTCCTTTCTTTATAGTACAGTATTTCCTATTACATATACACAAAAGGAGTCTCAGAGTTCTTTAGGCCCTGTACATTATATTTCACTTTTAGCAAAAAAGGAATTCTCTCAAGTAAGATAAGGGAGGAAAGAGTTACTAATGCAGGTGCAGGAGTCATTTAGAAAAGATTTTTAGGTAGTCAGAGGCTAAAAATATTTACAAGAACAAAATCCTATTGAAAGTGCCCTTGTAAAGTTGACTAAAAAGTCCCTCTTGGAGATACTTGGACTTCATGAAACTTCTACAGATGCAGCTTTTAAACTCTAGTACCCTTCTATGCCAGCTGGTTGCCATGGATAATAGTATTCAGCTTGAGAAGTGTAACTCTAGTTAGTATATTAAGTACCATTTTTCTTAAACAGAAGAGTCTAAAACTCCATATATGTGTCTCTTCTTCCTTTATGCCTTAGGGTAAAAAGATAATGTTGATCCATTTCTCATTTTAAAATAATACACATGAAACAGTTTACTCTGACAGTATCATGCAATTAAAACTAATGAAACTAAAAGTACATAATACCTATACCTAGCAAAACATATTCTCCTTGGATAATGGCATCATTGTGTATCAAATAAAAACTATCAAGTCATCCTTACTTCTTCCCTCTTCCCACATAAAAATTCTGTCTTTCCAGCTCCACTATCTTAGTTCCTGACTTCATCAACTCACCAGATTTAGTGAAAAGTCCCCAACAGTGCTGCTAGAAGGGTATTTCTATATAAATCTGATGTAATTATTCTCCTGCTTAAAAAGTTGATGGCTCTTCCTTATATACAGAATAAAAAACCATCACAATCTGGCCCCACCCTATATTCTAACCTTATCCCTTATCCACTCATCCTACATTCCAATCAAAATGAACTACTTGCAAGTTTCCGACTTTGAGTATCTTTGCACTGTACCCTTTACTTGGAACACCTACATCATCCTTCACAATCCAAGTCGAATGTCACTTCCTCTGTGAAACCATCTCCTAGACAGAAGCGTGATGTTACTACCGCTTGTGTTCATACACACAGCATTTTCACACTTTCTGGTTTACACATTACTTACAGTAGACCAGGAACTTCTAACATTAACTGATCTCTTACTATGTAGCTATCTGAACTAGATAATGTGAGGAATGCATACAGGGTTTCAGTCTTCAACAAATATTCACAGTGAAAACAACTATAAATGGCACGTTATTCACGGAAATCCTCTATCGCATACGTACGCAAAAATGACTCCCAAGGAATTCGTGGTCCGCGTATTTATCCCACTAGTTCCCCTTTACGTCATTAGCCCAGGCTCCCGGGGCGCTGAACCCACCACGAGGCCCTGAATGTTGCTCACAATCCTTTCCTGGGCCCCGCTGCTGCCTCTCACTGGAAGCCCAAGCACAAAAGCCTACTCACCACAAACTCCGCCGAGCCGGGGTCTGTTTGGTGAGCCGAAACACAGGTCGGCTCCAAGGAGCGCCTCCGCCAACCCCGCCCTGGGACGTTGGGGTCGCGGGAACCAAGGCGGCAAACACAAGCTCGCGAAACCGAAGCCCGCGCCGCGTCTGCTGACTGGTCAGAAACCCGGCCCATCAGGAAACAGGGGCGGTGTTGGAGGAGTCTCGCACTGTCTCCGCGACGTGCTGGTGCGCCAGCCAATCAGCGCCCTGCATCGGTCCAGCGCTCGACCAATTCCAATCCTCCTTGACGAAATGAGTGCGCCACTGGTGTTACCGGATCAGGTTCGGGAGGATTTAAATACTTGATTTTTCGTCAACGGTTAACTTCCGGGGTGGGGCGGGACTTGCACACGCGCAATGAAAAGCCCAGCCAGACTTAGTTGGGGATGACAGGAATCAAGAAATGCTCTTCTGGTTGTTGCTCCACGGCTGGAAGCGGGTGAAACCCTTTACCTGAATGGGCAAAAGAGAAGGAAAGTTAGATTTCTTCCAGTTACTTTCCTAAGAAGCGTCCTCTTTTTTCAAAAACAAAGACATTTCTAAAAATTTTTCACCCTGTATGTATATGTATATATAGCATATGGTTTAATTTGGGCATGATAATTTATAGTTATCTCCACAACTAATGTGGGGAACTGGGCCTTCTCTGCCATTATATTATATGATTGTCCTACCAGCCAAAGTAGAGAGGTATTTAACAAGGGGGGAAACTTAAAAAAATCACACAGCTAGTTAGTGCAGAATCAGGATTTGAAATGTCACTTACTTTCCTCTATATTCTATTTCCGGTAGTTTCCTGAGTGATGTGGGCGTGTCTTAAGATCTGAACTGCTCAAAACTGTAAAAATTATCAAAAATAAGGAAAATTTGAGAAACTAGCCAAGAGGAACATAAAGAGATATGACAACTAAATGTAATGCGTTATCATGAATGGAACCATGGAACAGAAAAATGACACTAGGTTATAAACTAAGAAAATCTAAAAAAAACTATGGACTTTAATTAATGTACCAGTATTGGTTCATTAATTGTAACAAATGTACTATACTAAATATGTTAATAATAGAGGAAACTGTGGAGTATACGGGAGCTCTGTACTATGTTCTCAATTTTTCTGTAAATCTAAAACTTTTAAAAATGATAGTCTGTTAAAAAGAAAAAAGGGTCAAGAGGAGAGTTGAAGTATATGCTAATTTTTAACAACAATAAAAATAAAATATCTTTTTTGCCTAATAACTCAAATACCAAAAAGAACTTTAAAAAAATTTATTACTACGGACTTATAAGCAGGAAATACATCTATGCTATGCATAGAGTAGATACTTTTTCCCCCTTCCTCTTTCAGCTTTATTGGATACTTTAAAGTTACATTTCTATTTTCTAGGACTTAAGTTGCTTTTTCCATCTGACTTTTAAAAACTGATTACCGCAAATGAAACAGTTGTCTTAACTGATACAGTATACAAAACTAACATCTTAATTTCTGTGAAAATGCATTTCTCTGCAATTCCTGAATAACTCCAAATTATGCTAACTCTAAGCATACGGGTTTTAGATTTAGTCTTTGTAAAAAAAATAAATGTGTTCTAAATCCTCACCATCACCATCTGCATATTCAGTATCAATGCTGTGCAGTTGTTTTTAGTTAGGTTTTTATCCAGATTTTTCTCACATAGACATTAATAAGTATGTTTGTCTTTTTATTTTGTTTACTCCCACTCTACTGTATGTTCTATGTAAGGCCTGATACAGATGTTACTTGATGTTATTTAATAGCTACTGAGGTCAGACAATCCAAAGCCATCGTTATGCTAAAATTAAAGTTATTTATGGAAGCTCACAGAGACTTCCAGAATTGGTTTTTACCTCCTATATGGGAACATATTCAAGGAACCCAGAATGGGCTTACTGGTCTCACTCAACTCTTCCCATTCATCAATCCCTATTCACCAGTGGCACTGAAAGGGGGTTCTTTAACAAAGCATTATACATAACACCTCTTACCAAACTAAACAAACATTTTTTTGTAGTCAAATGCAGAAAGTCGATTTTTTCCCCACCCCTTTCTTCCTTTTACACAGCAAGTAAAGCTCAATGTTGTGGGAGTAGCCTCTGTCTGCCAACCTTTGGCCAAGGAAGAGTGTTTAGAGAAAATAATATAACCATCAATCAGAAAATGGAGGGGCAACAAAGGAGAATAATTAAGCTGTGGCCTCAATTGTATTGTACATTCCCATGCAAGGTGCCCTGACTAACCATAGCAATAACCACAATTGACTTCATTTATGTTGCTGTCGTTGATGGCTACATGATCAGTTTCACTACACCTATAGCACTTAACTTAGGTGCAGTCTTTTTGAATGTGTCCAAATTATCCACAAGAATAGCACTTCTGCTCATCTGCATGGTCACAGTCACAAGCCAGATGCCCTGGTTTGCCACAAGTTGTAGCAGTATTGCTCTCGCTCTCTTGGGCTCCTTGCAGTCCTGGCAATGTGGCTACGTCTACTGCAATTATAGCAGGCATCCTGAAGATCACAGTCCTTGGCAAGATGACCAGACTCACCACAGCAATAACAGATACCTGGAAGAAAACAGGAAACAAATGGGAAAGCTCTATCTGAGGTAAAACCACCTCTGCCATGGCTTCTGACTCCTCGACCATGGCCTCCACCAGTAGGGCATTCCCAGGCCCAGTTGCCACGCTTGAAGCACTTATTACTGCTCATGGGTGCAGTTAGATCTTTGGTGTCTGAGAGGGCCCAAAGAGGCAGAGACTCGGACCAAGTAGATACTTTTTTAATTGAATGAAGAGAAAAATAATCTCCATTTTAGGATTGGAATGACTCAGCCTTATATTTAGTATAGCTTGGAGGTGCCTAAAGCGCATATTCACTAGCCCTTTGCTGTTAAGAAGCACTGGTTTTGGGGATTTTTGCCCCAATTATGCTGTTTAAGATTGACTTTCCTTGGGGGCTGGCCGAGTGGCTCAGTTGGTTAAGAGCTCGCTCAAGAGTTTGAGCTCTGAGCAACAG